TAATCATTTATATTTTTTTAATACATTTATTAACTATAATCTATATTATTAGGTAACGTATCTTTTAATTAGAGCATTCAATATTTGTGATATTGAATAATTAGTTACTATTATTTTATAGCTTCTTCAAAAAATCAAGAATAATCGTAGTGCGGCCCTTCAAAGCGTTAGGTCTGCGGTTTGGCACATATTTGGACATGAAAGATTGTTTCCCCTGAAGAGTAATGCAGCTGTGGCCGATATTGTTTGGTGGAAAGAAAGCTCACAAGTAAATGTTTGTTATCATGTGCTTTTCGAACAAAACAATGAAGGTGTTTATTGGGTATCAGTAATCACACGAACTGCATTTTCTACTAGGCAGTTCCCGTTTTGACAAATAAGCATAGCACATTCGCTTTTTCAGTATGTGACATCCTATTAAACCCCTGGTCACGAAATATTTTATGTACGGAAAAGTGTATGAAACATCGAATTGAACAATTTTTAGTAAGTTATTAGAATTTATTTTAGTTTTAACATCATATAATATTAACACTAACATATCATATTAGATTGATATCGAAAGTGGTGATTTATTGCACAAAAATACTGAAGCCCTTCAAAGTGAAGGTGAAGGTGAAGCTTATGATGATGAACTATATGATGAGGGTTCTCCTTAATATAATCCTGATCCCAAATCTCTTCCCTGGAATATTTCTTCAATGAGTCTTCCCAAAGATGAGTTGGATAAATTGTATGGCATTGCTTAATTGCGATTTATAATTCAATGTATTTTTTTATGTATTTTTTTTATATATTTTTTTTATGTATTTTTTTTTATGTATTGTATTTTTTTAATATTTTATATATTATGTATTGCTTATTGCGTATATTATCTATTACTTATTGCTATAATATTCAATAAATAAATTTATATACATAAATTGATAATTATTTTAAAATTTGTTAAAAGTATTACCATGGTTATTGGTATAAAGTTAATAGTACTGAATATATTTGATATATATCGATATTATACTAAATCATTTTTTATCGATTTTTTATTGTAATAGATATATATCGATATATATCTTAATTGATATAACCCAACAGAAGGGATTACTATCGATATATATCTGTTATAGTTAATAATCGATATATATTAGCCTATTTTTTTTGCTAATATAGTCACATTAAAAAAAAATCAAATAATTACATATTACCTCTTGATGCTTACTATGACTTAAAAAAAACTATCAACAAAGCTAAAAAAACCAGAACAAACAAAGCACTAATTAAATAAATAGTATGTTTTGGTATTTTATTTTCTGTATTTGATTGTCTATATTTTGAGGACTATACTAAAATATTGAATTCTAAATATAATTCATCTAAATAAACCTTATTAGCATCATCAATTCTGAATATGAAAACAGTAAACATTATACTAAAAATAAAACCATAATTATCAAAAGCAAAAAACTTTACATTATATGTAGATAGTTGGTGTAGTTCAACAAAGTATAGCATATATGTATTTGTAATAATAACAGATAATAGAAAGCAATATGTTTATTATTATACAATTTTTTAATGCTTTTACATATAGCAAATTTTAATACTAAAAAAATATTAAAAGTATTAAAAAATGTTGAGCCTGAAAATTTGTTGCTATAGTTTTTAATACAGAATTAGCACTGATGATAGCAAAATAGTAAGTTGTAACAAAATTTTTTTACATTTTATTTATCAAGGCTATCTAGATTGAAAGTTTAGTAAAAAGGTAAAGAAAAAGACAGGGGTATACTAAAGTATCAGGATTATACTGTGAAGTAGATGCTGGGGTCTAAGTAAACTTTACAAGAATATAACAGTTTAATGATTAAGTCTTGACTGCAAGTGTTAGTTCTGCCATAGCAATACCTAGATCAGCTGTAAAAATAGGTACAGAAGGCTCTAAGAGGTTTACCTTGAAGATAAATTAGTCCTAAGATTGAGATGATGATCTGGGCATCTGGGTATGATTTAGTGAATTAATACAGATTACAAGTTCAGAAGGTTTAAAATAAAACATCCAAGCAGAGGTGTTAGATATAGCAATTAGTAGAGAACTTTTAGGCAGACTTCTTAAATAGGTAATATAGAAAAGTTACATGTGTAGCCAATTGTATGCTCTTATGTAGTGGTTTATTGAACCACAATACCGATAAGTGATTAATAAAAATCAAAAAACCAAAGAGGTTACCTTAACAAGAAAAAAAAAAACAAATCAAAATTTTTAAAATTAAATCAAATTAAATCAAAATAAATTTAATTTTAAAAAACTTTACTAATTAAATAATCTATTTAAGACTTTATATATATTATAAATTTTATACTAGATACTATATTTATAAGCTAATAATAGGTTTTGTTTATTTAAACTCTTTACATTATACTTTTAATTTGTACTATCAAAAATTTCTTAAATATTTAATTAAAAATTATTCAATGCTTATCTAATATTTTTAAAACTAATTTATTCTTGGTTTGATAATTTACTAAAACCTTTTGTATTTTATATATAATTGATATAGTTTTATACAACACATTATAATTATAATTAACACTTGCATTCATATAAGTATGGTTTTTAGTATTATTAAAAAATTTATATAATAGTAGTACTTTTCTTTTTTATTAATTTCTGAGAGTTTAACTTTATATTAGACTATTTAACTGCTACATTACACTATGACTAAGAACCTGACATTTCAAAATTTTAAAATTTCAAAATAAAAAAACTAGTAAATGTATTATTTTGAAAATTGTATCCCTTAAAGTAGCATACTGTAGTTAGTTTCGAAATAATGTTAACATTCCTGAAACAACATAAGCAAATTTATAATATACAAGTTACTCTCGTTATAGTTAATTCTCAATCTTGATATTTATAGTGAAGTTAAACTCAAAGCCAGTTTATATGAAAGTCTCCCGATATAACGAATTTACTATTGAAATTTTCGATATAAAGAATTATTAAAACTTTTTATAATGGAACCGATCACTTCACTATAACGAGTTTGACTTGTAATAGCAATTGAGGTTTTAAATTAATCCTTTAGTAATAATCTGTATATGTATATTATTAATTTATCAGTATACAAGTAATTTAATCTTATCCAATCTTATCAAATTATGATGTTGCTACGTATCAATATCTGATAATCAAATCTAGCCATGTAATTAAGAATCTTTTTTTATTTTCCACAGAATATTTTAGAAATACCATATTCCTGGATTTTGGTCCTAACAGAATCAATCAGCTGCTAACACTAAATCCGATTACTAATCATTATTATTGTGATGTCAAAATTGGTTAGGATATGAAATTCAAATTTTTTTAATATTAAGTATTACGAGTTAACTTTTGAAACTTTCACTTTGGTAGAATAAAAAAATTTCAGACTACGTACAAAAAACTGACACTCTAAATCTTAATTCTCCAAACAAAACGTTTTACATAAACACTTAACTATATATAGTATTATTATTAACTTGGGGGGATAAAACGAAGCAGGATTTACATCTATCGCTATTAACCGAAGTATACATACGTACGTCCGTAGAAAATTTGTATAATACAGAACTGCATGAAAAAAAGACAATGGCTTTTTAGTTAAAAGCGTAAGCGCTAAAATTTTAAATATATAATCATTAAATACCAGGAAAATGGAATCCGTTAGACTCCAAGGCGTCACTTCGCATATAAAGTAAAATGAATATATAATTACTAGAATATACCATTTAAAGATCTGTCCATTATTCTATATATCGATATATATAAATTTGGCGTTTCACACAAATTTACAAATCTCTATTCAAATAAAAAGGTATTGTGAAACAATTACACAATAAGGCGCATAAAAAACGAAATAATAACGATAACAATTACGGTCTCTAACACTAACTTAACAACTCCAAGAAAGAAAAAAAAACCTTTTATTTGCATATTTACATAATTAAAAATTCAAACGTATAATAAAAATTCATATATTTAGGAAATAAAGAAAATCTCTAATTGTACTCTCGGATGAATATTTGCAGAAAACGGATTTTTAAAAGTTTTGAATTTTAAAACGGAAACAGGGTTTCTATTTCTGTACAACTTCTCTTATTGTTAAAATATATCTAGTTCATAAATCAGTCTTTATAGACCATATTTTAAATTTACGGATATACTCCATTTGATTTTATTTTATTTTCATAAATCTAGGTAAAACTTGATCTACCCCTGAGTCGTTATCTTTTGAAACTGAATCTAAAAAACAATTAAAAATCTCTGACGCTAAATACATCTAAATAAATGGAATTGTTTTAATTTTAATACATGTAAACTCAATTTGTTACAAAGCAATCCCACTTTAGTTTATAACCCGCTTTAGTTTTTCACTTATAGTCTTTTTTTAGTATTTAAATTAATATAAACTGACACATTGTAAATCTTTTGTAAATAAAAACAAGAAACAATTATTGTTTTTTTTTTATATACCGATTCTGATACCGATACCTGATACTGATACTTCAATTCCATATAAAGATATAGAAACGAATCGAGAACATTCTACTTGTATTACGTCAAGTCACACACGATTGAATACGTGAACAAACTCTAAAATTTTGATTCAATCTTTATTTTTTTTTATTACGTCACGAACAAGAAAGCGTGTAAAAATGATTCTTAAGTCTTATATATTTTTTTGTTTTTAAATGTGTGTCTTATAAAAAAAATAAACACTATATGATGAAACTAAAGAAAAAAAAACAAATGAAATGCTATATATTTTACATACTAATATGTCTGAAAAAACGAAAAAAGAAACTACATATTGCAAGACCTAATGGAATAGAATAACAATGATAATTTGAATTTGAATATTGTTGAATTTGAAAAATAATTCTTTATATTTTATACAATTACCAGTATTGTAATATATCATAAACTTCCGCTGCGACTTTTGTATTATCTGCTTGAATAGTCGCGAATTTCAAACTATATAAAGCAGTTTCTGCGGCCATATATTCGCAGACGGAAAAATGTTCTTTCGGATTATGAGTTCTAGTGAAAGACATTGTTCGATTTTTTAAATGATCTGATTTAATATATCGATTAATATTTATAGTTTCATGCTGATTATTTTCTTTTTGATTATATTGTTTCTGATTTACGATTTCTAAACGTTTTTTTTCAGCAATTTGAAATTCTTTTGTTATGTCTGTTGAAAGTCCATCAGAAATTTCTACTAGCCATTCTCCTATGATTTCACATAATTCATTGGTGGTTGGTCGATTTAAAGGATTATGATTCCAACATTTTTGCATTAACCTGCTATAACATTCTGGTATATCCTCATCAATTTCTGGTCGAAGTCCATGACAAATATCTTTTGATAAAGAAATATCATGTAATCTACCCGAAAATGGGCTTTGACCTGTTGCCAATTCCCACATAATACTACCAAAACTATAAACATCAGAAGCTGTCATGCATGATTTACTCTTTAGTATTTCTGGGGCAACATAAGGTAGAATTCCGTACGTGCCTTCAAGAATTTCATCATTATCAGGAGGACATATTCCAATATCATCAATAAGTGTCATATATGCGTTTATAAGTACATTTCCACTATGTAAATTACAATGAACTAAATTTTTTTCATGTATTTGTGATAAACCAGTAGCAACACCATAGAGAATTTCCAAACGTCGTTCCCATGTGATAGTAGAATTACTACTCATTAAATACTTTGTTAAATCACCATTTCTCGCGTATTGCATGACCAATATATAATTCTTTGTTACTGGATCTTGGGTCAAACCATAGTATCGTATTATGTGAGTTCCACTATTATTTCCACAACGTAAATGTTGACGCAACTGTAAATGACGTGAAAAAAATAAATAGAAACAATATAATTACTAAAGAATTAAAATAACGAAATAATAAAATATTGAAATAATAAAATAATAAAATAATAAAACAATAAAACAATAAAATAATATAATAATATAATAATATAATAATAAATAATTACCTTATCAAAGAAATCATATGAAAGATTATGTGAATTGTCAAAGCTTTTTAACGCAACGAGACATTCACCATCGCGCACGAATTTACTCATCTGTTTATCCCATTTATCACATGGACCATCGAGCCATATTGAATGAAAAATGTTTCCAGAGCGTCCTGAACAAACATATTGAATATCATATAATCTATCATAAGGAACCCATTCTAAACAATCAAAACAACTTGTAGCATCAAGTTGAGATTCCAAAATAAAACAATCAATATCATCATTCCCACTTGTCCATGTACCAAATGTCTTTTCAAATCGTTTTGATTCACAACTTTGACACCAATGAGCAGAATAACCGACATATGCAATTTGTTTACCACATTGACAAATTCCTGGTTTTTGACCTATTTTCGTGATTTCTTGTATATTTATTGGTTTTTCTGGTGATTCAATTATTGAAATTTGATCCAAATAATTCAAATAAATAATCATTGGTTTAATTTCATTAAAATAATCCATTGTAGTTGATTCAGTTATTAAAGATGAAAACCTTAATACATTTTTAGCATGAAGTTTGACTTGAGTGACACCGAAATGAGTAGCACTTTTCCGATTATCATCATCTTTTTTAATAACATGACTATAACCATGTATAGAACCACCTCGAATCAAACGAGCAGAATGAACACTAAATTGACCATGCCTAGTGAGAATAGCTTTTTTTGCTACCAAAATAGTTGCCGGAGATTCTTCATTAGATTCATTTATAAAATCCAATTTAACCTTTGAATTATCATCAACCATATTAAAATCTTTTTTTGAAAAATTTTCAGGTTGACCATCAAACCCGCAAAACGGAGTATATGTTCGTGTAGAATCTATGGTATGACATCTATTATGAGAAGGAATAAAAGGATCGACCATGCAAAATCGACGCTTGTCCACAAGTATTTTTTGATTTTCATCCATTACTTGAGACTTCCTTAATGATGGAACAGGAAGACTACGATATTTCTTCTTACTCATTTGATGAAACTCTTTTGATTCCAAACCATCGTCTTCCACAGTACCGAAAGTTTTTATCTCTTTATTTATTATAGTTTCTTCTTTCTTATAATTACGACCCAGCGTTCCAAAATCACTTTCACCCTGCTTCTTACGACGGCTAATAGCCACATCACTCGCCTAATAATAAGAAAAAAAAAAAAGTATAATAGTATAATATATATTTTATTAAATATATTATAGTTATATATTTATTTATTTATCGATTAGATTTTTGTTGAATTCAAGAGAAATAAAAACAATAACAAATTCATATAAATATCGAAAAAAATTTTACCTTAGTAAGCCATTTGAAGAGTTTTGGACAGCGTACCATACGGTAATTTTCAAAATATATTTATATATATATAAATAAAATATTATTTATATATATATTAAAAAGTTTTTTTTTTTTAATAAAGGGTTTTGAGGATTGCTCAAAAACCCGTAAGGATACGCAGCATTCACGAAATAAATAAATTTTGTGGTTAAAATTTGTTTTTTTTTTTTTCTCAAAAAAAAAAAAAAGTGGTCTCTCTGTTCGAAATATCATGGAATTTTTATATCAATTGTTGAACACAATTAACTGCATTTTCAAACTATATATCGATATATTTATTTAGTTATGCACTTTTAAATAACGGTAACATTGTAAAAGTCCGAGGTTCCCAATTCAGGTCATCCCTGCAAATAAGTAAATAAGTAAATAAGTGGCGTTTTACATTTTTTTTTTTTTTTTGTTTTTTACCAACTTTATACGTACGTACAGAAATTTTTTCAGAAATAGATTCGGTTAATTCAGTAATTTCTGATCAAATCACACATGATCAAATGTTCAAATTTAGAATTTAAAACTATATGCTTAAAAAAAAAAAAAAAAAATTGTTTGAAGTATAAACAATGTTGGTTTATTGCAGGTTTTTTTTTTTATTGGTGTTGAAATAAAATATGTTTACTATTTTTCTTTGGTTAGAAAAATGTAATGTTATTTCTCATGATACCAAAAATACATAATCGAATATTTCACCGCACTAGTGTTTTGAAAATCGTACGTACTGTACATACGTACATATGTATGTACATTGTTTTTATATCTACACTACGTACAACGATACGTACGTACTAATATAGTTACGTTACTAATATTATTTAAAAAAATTTAATTAAGAGTTTATCATAATTCAAGCATAATTCAAACTTGTGATTTATTCGTTAATCCATTCCTCATGAAATCCTGCAGTCAAACGCGTTTTTTTTTTTTTTTTAAGTTTTACGTATAAGAGAGAAAACTCATTGAAACGATAGGTCCTGAAACGTAACGGTACTTTACAGTATAAATGGATGACATATTTGTCAAAAGTACGTACGTACGTACGTACAGTACATACCCGATACTACGTATTGCTACGTACGTAATGTATTTTTTATTACGTCACATAGCGATAAATTGAATAACGATAATGAATAAATGCCATCTTTAAACTTAGCTATTACAGTATTAATACGTACAGTACACTATAGCGCTTCTATTTACCGGTCATCGAATGAACTCTAATTAATATGTCAATATGTAGAACTAGAATTGGAATATAGATGAAGCTTATAAAAAGGAAGTTGCACAGGAAAAAGGCGTGCAATAGCATAAACCATAAAACCGTTGAATAAATATAGTATTAACTATAACTATTCACTACCATTCACTACTATTTCATTACTATTTCGCAATTATTTCAAACTATTTCACAACTATTTCACTATTATTCACTACTATTCAGGATATATTTGGAGAAAACTGCAATGCATGACTGGTACTCCAATATCGATACATTCATGAACGAGATCGAGACCTAGTGGCAATCATTACGATGTCGGATGTTATGTACATAGGAATGTGCATGAAGTTAAAGAACACGAGTAAAACTTTTAAGCGATTATACACGATGAAAGAAATATATTTAAGATGATGCAAGCAAAAACTTAAAAAAAACACTATCGGGAAATTTTGTTTTGCTAAAATTCTACGTACGTACGTACGTACGTATTTGCTATGTATACGTACGTAAAAAAAGACAATTAACGTTATATAGTAATAGATAATAACGTAAACCTTTCTAAAAATAACAAATCAAGTAAGATACGTAGTAATCATGTCATGTATGGTAAATTTTCATGCATATAGAAATACGTATTAATAACAATTAATAACAAATTAATGTAATTAATACCAAATTAATGTCTAATTTTAAAGAAATGTAAACATTATCGCATGCTTAAGTTCAAAAAAAAAATATTTTTAAGAACCATTAATATTTCAAAAAATAATTCATTTAAAAAAATTATCGTTATTCAATGAAATTTCTATTTGAATTTATATTGATTTTTTTTATAAACAAAAAAAAATTTCCTTTTTACATAAATATATTACAAGTAATTACTACAGCTAATACATAAAATCGCGTTTTATTTTTTTAGTTGTCATTGTTATCATTTAATTTGGTTGTTTCATCAACCTGATCCCGAACATTTTCGAAACTTCTTGAATCTGTAGCTCCAGCTTCGGGTAATACCTGTAATGAGACAAGTGGTGTAACCCCAGTTCCATCATTCCTCGTAATTGTAGAGCGTCGTGATATTGGTTCTGAACTAGGTAGGTCTCTAAAAGTAACTCCATCTCTAACCTCATCTAACGTAGTTGAATCGGTCGTTACAGGAATAGTAGGGTTTCCATGAACATCACTAATATAATTTAAAGTTGATATCCTTCTAATATCTTCATTTCTTGTTTCATCTGAATGTACATCTTCATAAGGTGGTGGTAATTCTCCAGGAGGAAAAAAGTATCTTGTAAACGTGGAGATAACTCCTTGTTGATCAGAAGGTTCATCTGCCATCTCTGTATAAGGAGGAAGGGTTCGTACACTATCTTCTCTAGTTAACCCTCCTCCACCTGATCCAACTAATAAAGATGCTGTTCTATGAACTCTTCCACCAGCACTTCTATCTAAATTTGTTGGTCTAAGTGTAGAATTAAATCTTTTAATACAACAACCAATTGATACTAAAGTGAGTATAATAATTATCAAGACAATCACTGCAACCGCTTGGCTTGAATAGGTTGGTATTTTCTCACGTCCTGGTGGTGAATTTGGATTTTGGTCTAGTAAATTCACATTCCAAGGTCGACTATAATTTGCTGTTAATTGTAAAAGTATTGATGAATTATCAACACAATTGAATGTCATATTTGAGTCTATATTTGTAGTATTAACAATCGTCAAATTTCCACATGCAAAGGAATCACATTGAATTGATGAATTACAGTTTGTTTGAGGTGGATATTTTAGTATACATGTCCCATTTGAACAAAAGTATGAACTCATACAAGAACCTATGTAATCTAATGGGTTTATAAAAGATCCAGGTGGTAAAGTGTCATTGTTGGATATGAATGAACTAGAATTATTAGGTACCCAATGATAACGTAAATATTCCAACAACCATGTTTTATTATCTTGTGACCAAGAAGAATAATTAAATCCCACGCATCTCGTCTGTCTACCTCCTCCTACTCTTCTACCTAAATATTCAATAGGCGGAAATACACTTGGATTTAATCTCCATGTAAAATTCCTATTATTATTATCTCTTGATGAATCGGAACAAACAGGTCCTGTCTGCAAAAGATAACAACTTGGGTTGCCAAGACCACCACAAGTGAAATTTGTTCCACATGATGAATCTAAATTCGTGGTTAAATTAGACATTGATATTTTAAAATGACGGCTTACAAGATTGTATAAATTATAATATCTCTACATTAAAAAAAAAAACCGAAACTGAAGGATTAAATTTACAATTTTAAACCGTTTACGTTAACGTAAAAATCATAATTTTTAAAGGATTGTTTAAAAAGAATCGAAAGAAAATTTACCCTAGATCAAAGCCTCAGATTGCCTTTCTTAATATAGTTAATAGCCGGTCACTATGATTAACACAAATTCAGAACAGGAGATACATATATAAATATTTATGATCAGATCGTTACTCATTATTATTGTCAAGCCTCAAATCAGGTTGTTAAATGATACCTTGGCATTAGTTTTTGTATGGATGTACACATAATTGTTGGCAACACTATTCCTTTCTTTCTCAAATTCTTACTCCGATCTATTTGAAATATGTTTCAATAGTCTTGCTTATCTTTTTTTCATTTAAACAAAAGGTAAAGATCATTCAAATCTTCAAATTTCCTGATATAACTTTGAATTGATTCATACTTGTTATACGTATTATTGCAAAAAAAAGGCTATCAAAAGTATGTATATGAATATCTAGTGATGTTGATTATATGATATTGATTATTAAGACCACTATAAATAACGAAAAATCGATTGGTTAATAGTAACCAGAAAAATTCCATTAAAAGCAAAATTGAAAAATATTGGGTGAAAACGGAATTTATTTACTAATAAAGAAAACAAAGATCCTAACTCTCCGTATGTTTACACTGTTTACGCTTACACTAATGTAATTTTTGAATTCTCAAAAAATTCAATGTGGCTTAGTATCTACGAATATGGAAGTAATCAGTTCAAGCCTTTGGCATCTCCTGTAATCTATATATATACAATATATAATTATATATATAATATCGATATATGATCGTTATTTTTTAGCATATAAAGCTAATTTGATTTTAAAATTACAGCATTAAAACTTCTGAACATTCTGAACAGACACGGTCACTCGGTCTTATTAAACATATTGACTAATTTTATTGAAATTAATTTTTAACGTTTAAAAAGTTTTTTTTTTAATCTACAGTCAAACCTGCAAAAACATCGTTTATGACTTTTTATTGACCTTCACTAGAAAACAATATTCACATCATTTTTAACCAGTGTTGGTCAAATTAGTGGTCGACTATAAATTTGCTGGTCATTGGTCAAAGGGTTTCTGGTCAAACTGGTC